CACTGCACATGTCCACATCGTTCCATACATTACCCATGCTCCCACATCCTGCTCTTTATATCATGCCTTTGTGCATGTGTCCATCCTGCTGCTTCAAATGTCTATTTTCTTCTGTCCTACTCATTCAACTCCTATTCGTCTTCAAAGTCAACTCAAATGCCGTTTCCTTCACGATTTCGCCTTCCTCCGTTCCCCCAGTGGTCGGATCCATCACACCCTCTTCTGCATCATACGCCACTTTGTTTGCAACTCATCCCCTGTCACCATGGAAGTTCTCCAGGAAGCGGATCCTAAGAGGGAGTTAGAAGTACAAAAGGTGTCATAGAAAGGGAAATCTGTACAAGTAAAAGGGGGGAAGCTGGATTGGGCAGACCCCCATGCAGACCTGACAGTCTCTGCCAGACCAATGGGAGGCTCTGGAGCAAAGATGGCTCAGCACAAGAGTTACTGGGCTAAGCCTTGGTGCCACCACCTTGTTCCACTATTGACCAAGCTATTCTGTGAGCAAATCATGAGCTCGACAGTGAGATGGAGCCTAAAGGCTCTAACAGCTGAAACCTGTCAGCTGCCCACACGTCACACAGCTGGATGGCAGGCAAGTCCTTTCCTGAAGGGTGATCTGAGTAGCACATCTCTGTGTCTGTCCCATTTCCCATCATTTTTGTTGCCTGCCAGAGTTTTTATTCCTTGACCCACATGTCCAGAATATTAGAGGTAGATGGGACTTTGGAGCCCATACAGTGCATCCTTCACATTCCATTAGGAATGGAGACGTTCGTTACTCATGCTGCGTTATAACTTCCCTGACTGTATGATCCATTCTGAATTGGATCCCAAATCAGAATCCAGTAGATCTCCTCCTTCTTTCCAATGACACGGATCAGTATATATACATATATCTGGCCAACCCAGGAAGCACTGCCTATTCCTGGGGGCCAAGAAGAATGAATATTGATAGCTGTAAAAAAAAAAAAATAAGAACATTATTAGTGATATCGTGATTATCTGCACTGGGTCATTGTACTTCAATTATACATTTCCCAAAAAAGCAAACAGCAACCAAGAATATTGGCACTTTAAATATTAGCCTTTTGTGACTTGAAGTCCCCACACAATTACAGATAATGAAGGGGAGCTAAAATCCTCAAAGCCAGATCCACTGCAGCGGTAGTTGGAAGCCTACGAACAAATGTTTGTAAAAGGAGGAAAATCAATGAGCAGAATGGGAATACATGGGAGCAGAGTCTGTTTCCCTTTCTGTTGATCAATCAGTCTTCCTAGAAGCTGCCGGGCTGTGAGGTTATCTTAGATGCATTTCCAAAGACCCTGAGCTCTTGGCACTTTGTGGTGAGCAATCTTTGTGCCGTGGGGAGCAGGGGGGCTTCACTCTCCCACCAGGGTCCACTCCGCTCCCGGGGTGATGGATAATGCCTTAATTACCAAACCCAGAGCAGGTGATGTCTGTCTTCTTGGTCCTCAGGGCTCTTGATTACTTAACTCCCTCCCTAAAAGGAAACAGTTTCCACATCAATAATTTAACAGAGCAATTAGGGGAATTTAAAAAGTATAATTAGACAGAATCAACTCTGTGTCCCTTGGGTATTCTGTCCCTTTTTCTTTTTCATGCTCCGTGCCCTCCCTCCCCTTTTTCTAAAGGATCATTTTGTGGGCATAGCAGATAGGAACATAGTTCAGTGTCTTTAGTCCAGGAGAGAGAGAGAAAAAAAAATCAGTTTAAAGGAATGAAAGAAAGGAATGGAAGGTAAGCGCACACCCAGACTGTCTGGGTTCAGTCCTGGGACCTGCTGTTTCCCACGTATAGCAGCCTCAGCTCTCGGGGCTTGAGGAAGGCAAAGGAGGTAGGTTATTTGGGGCTGGAACAGTCCGTCATGCAAGAAGTCTCTGGAAATGGGGTTCTCAGTCCCCAGAATAGTGCCCAGCCAGCAGCAAAGTATGTGGTAGCCCCCATAGAAAACAACCTCCATGGACCAGGTGCAATGGCTCACGCCTGTAATCCCAGCGCTTTGGGAGGCCAAAGCGGGTGGATCACCTGAGGTCAGGAGTTCGAGACCAGGCTGACCAACATGGAGAAAGCCGTCTCTGCTAAAAATAAAAAAAAAAAAAAATTAGCCGGGCGTGGTGGCGGGTGCCTGTAATCCCAACTACTCGGGAGGCTGAGGCAGGAGAATCGCTTGAACCTGGGAGACGGAGGTTGTGGTGAGCTGAGACCACACCACTGCACTCCAGCCTGGGCAACAAGAATGAAGCTCTGTCTCAAAAAAAATAAAAAAGAAAAGAAAAAGAAAACTACTGTGAATGGCTTTTACTTTACTCTGATCTGCCTGGTATCCTCAGGTGAGGAGAATATATATTTTTTTAACCTTGAGGAAATGAAAATTAATCACAGCCCAACCCAATAATATGTATATTAAAAAAATTAAAGTTGCATCCAAGCTCAATTTGGTAATAAAAAAACTTGTGCTTTAAGTGTTTTCTTTCCCCAAATTCCCAGTGACATGGCCAAAGAAATAGTAGGAATAAGGAAAAAGCACTGTCAGTAATGGAAAAAGGACAATCACCATCTACCAGCAAAGAGCTCATAAATTCTCTAAGATACAATGCGGGGAAGTCTGGATTGAGGCAATAGCAACTGGGAAGTTGGGACAGGAGCCACTGAAAGAAAGCTTGTTCTCAGAAGGAAGCAGAAGGGACCATCTGCAAACCCTGGAACTCAGATGCTGGGCCCCAGGGAGGGTGCACTGCAATGCAGTGACAGAGGGCAGATTCTAAGACTGCCCTGTGGAGACAGCAAGGGCCAGGACTGAACAAGCAGGATTCAGGCCTGCAGATGGCAAGGTGGGTGCCTGGAGCACTGATATCCCGGTTTCCTAGGATATCATGTCAAGTACAGCTGGGGGCTTAGTGCAGCCAGCCTCAGGTCTCAGCCTTGGCGTACTAGTTCCTGTGCTCTCTCCCTGCCTCCTCCTCTTGGGATATTTATTTGACTTTTATTTTGATAAAGTAAATCACAGAAAAAAAAAAAAAAAAAAGGTAACATTTCTCTTCTCCCTTGCTCTGGCCCTGAACAGATTTCAACAGGCACTCGGAAAAACGGAAGCCCTTTCAGTCACAAATATGGACAAACACAGATCCACCTCTGGGGCCCTGTAAGGTCAACAGGAAGAAACATGATCAAACATAAAACTCGGTCTTTTAGAAGAACAGAGTCAATTGGAGGCATCAGAATGAATGTCCTCCCTTCCTGACCCTCTATGATACAGAGTTTCAGTATGAAATGGGAGAGAACTGGAGAAAATCTCTTAATTTGTTTTCTCCAGATTTCAGTCTGTAATTTGAAAAGGTTAACTGAGTATCATGCAAAAGTCATGAAAGTGGCCTAAATGCATCCTGATTCCAAGGAGAAAAGTTTAATCAAGGGAAAACAACAACATCAACAAACAAAAACCCTACAATTATCTAGATGACAAAAACAGATTGCCTCAGAGGAAAAAAATATATAATGCTGGCATTAGATGTCTTCCTTGAAATATTACGTTTCAGAAAGCGTTAGCCTCATATTACAGTTTTAAGGAAAAAAAACATTTAGGACAATAATTTTTAACTGTCCAAATTATTTTATATGGTTAAGGTATGAAGAAAGTTAAGGCATCACAATAAATGAATGAACTAAAATTATATCATAATAGGAGGAGTAAAAATCTGTGATTGTTATTTCTTATTTGTAATAGACACACTAAAACAAAATGAAATAAGTTTAAAAATATAGGATAGTCAAAGCTGACTTACCAGACTTGGGAGTATGCAGACACACTTACACATATACACTGCAAGACAGAAAAGAAAGGAAATAAAAGAAAGCAAGCTGGGGTCACAAAATTAGCATCAGGCAAAGTAAAATTCAAGGTAAAACATGTTAAATAAAACAAAAGTATCAATTTTTAATAATCAAGACTATAATTTATAGCTTGAGATTTATCAACCTTTATGTAGTAGATGACATAACCACTAACATCAAAATATATGACCTGAAAGCTGTTAGAAATGCAAGCAGTGAATTTTTAAATTTATTTTTACTTTTAATTGGAAACAATTATAGATTTGTAGGAATGTGAATACATTTTGCAAAAAGTTCTTATGTACCCTTCACCCAGCCTCTCCCAGTGTTATCACCTTCTATAGTTATTGTACCATACCAAAACCAGGAAATTGATATTGATAGAATCCATAGAACCTGTAGAAATTTTTTAAAAATATCACAGTACTGGTGGAATATTCTAATACATTCATTTGAACTTTTGCCAGAGCAATTGGAAAAACGAGAATAAATATAGAAATATCAAAAATGTGCTTAAGCCCGGCTCAGTGACGCACACCTGTAATGCCAACACTTTGGGAAGCTGAGGTGAGCAGATCACCAGAGTCCTCAGCCTAGGCAACATGGTGAAACCTCATATCTACAAAAAAACACAAAAATTAGCCGGGTGTGGTAGTGTGTGCCTGTAGTTCCACCTACTCAGGAGGCTGACTCAGGAGGATTGCCTGAGCCCTGGCGCTTGAGGCTTCAGTGAGCTGAGATCATGTCACTGTGCTCTGGCCTGGGTGACAGAGTGAGACCCTGTCTCAAATATATAGGCTTAATTTTGATCTGATTAATAGCTATCAGAAGGCTACCTATCTACAAACAGAAAATAGTCTTTTCAAAAGTCTGTGAAATATTTGTAAAATGTGTATATACTTGGCCACAAACTCATACTCTGTAAGTGACAAGTAATAACAAAGGAAAAATAAAATTAATAAAATCAATATAAGGCTAAAAACTACTTTATAAAAATCTTTAAAGAGGAAATCAAACAAGCAGTTAAAGACCATTTATGTAAGAGCCAAATGATAACACTATATACCTATCATATTTTTACAGTCAGTGATGTAAGTAGAATGAATTCACATTTTTACGTATTTTAGTATTAAGATAGAATGAAAATGGATAAATAAGCATTCATGCCCCCAAACTTGAAAAAGAGCAAAAAGTAATAAAACAATGAGACTAGATATGGCCAAGAAATTATAAAATATACATTACATAACTCTGCAATAATGAATTTAAAATATATCTGAAATAAATTCTCTACCGAAAGACACAAGTTACTAAAACTCTCTGTGGGAAACAAAGCAGGCATCTGTTATTGAAAGGCAATTCAAATTGAAAACAACTGATTGAAAACAGGCAAAAACTTACCGAGAGAAAACTATTGGAGATTTCTCCGTGTAAAACTAACTCTGACCTATTTTCTGTAGCACCCAGAAAACCTCTCTTAGTGTGGAGGGCATTCTATGGAAACTTCTTTCCAGGAGCAATAGCAATCCACCATTGTCAGAGCTGCCATTTCTCACCATCTTTGCAACATTTGATATTCAACACTATAGATCACAGGCACATTTACAAATGATTTCCTGCATCCTTTTGGTTTCCTCTTCTATACGACACCACCCTCTGTCTTCCTAATTTTACCCCAAATGTGGGCTGTCAAATATCCAGGCTTTGTCTTACCCATGATTACATTTTTTGTTTCAGTTACCTGATCCAGTTTCCTGCTCAAGAAATTAACTAGACAGGCCATATTCTTCGTCTTTTCCTTGTTGTTTCACTCACTTTCCATACAACTACGTGGCCAGATCTTCAAATGCAGATTGGGTTTATTTATTTATTTATCTTTTTCTAGAAAGGAAATCTTTAAGAAGAAAATAGAGAAAGCTTCACTTCGTCTTTAGTTTGATCCTAGAGTCTCAGATGCTGGACTCTTGAGACCTAGTTCATCCTCTCTCTTTTGTGAAATTCCTAGCTTGTGTAACTTCTCACTTCTGCCTTTGGTTCCTATCTTGACCCACTTCTATTTTTTTCTAAGCATGCAGCATTTCTCACTCACCCTAGCTGTCTGTTTTAGCTTGAATATGTGCTTTATCACTCTCAATAAAACTCCACTTCTGTGTTCTGGGGTTACCACAAACTTATGGCCAAAACTGAAAAGGTTATCTTTTGTACTTGCTTTTTTTGTTTTTTGTTTTTTAGGTTTTTTTGGTCTAGGAAGCTTGACTTGACTTGAAACAGTTTTGGTATCATTAAATATTATTTTGCCATTTTTTATTGTTTCAGTTTTTATGTGTTCATTCATATGTCCCCAACTGACAGCAAATGGCCATTTTCTTGTCTAATTTAACTTGGTATTAACCATCTAACCTGTATCATCTGTCTATAAAGTGAGATTTAAATACGCATTGCTTAATAATTGTCTCCTGAAATATATAATAAGCCCGGAGATGCGAGATTGGGCAGCTTTGCACATATTTTGCTATTTCCCTCAGCATATAGACTCCCTAATCTCCTAGATGACCTATGATATTTTGTTTTGATACTTTTATATTATCTAAGGTAGACAGAAATCACTAAACTTGTCTCAATAAGGTAGAAAACAAAGTGCCCATTAGTTGTTGAAAGAAAACCATACTAAATTAAGAACAATCAAACAAAAGCATACGATACAATATTGAAGAGAAATAGATTTCTAAATGGGAGACTGTAATCCATCTCTTAGTAATAGCACAGATAAACAATAGACTTTCTGAGGGTCAAGTCTCTCAGTATTGTTAACTTTTTTTTTAACCATAATCCATGTTATTTATAGGCATATACATACACACAGATGAATATGAAATACATGTTTATGAAACAGTACTGTCTCTTACGCTATGTTGTCTGATTTTTTTTTTTTCTGATTCTATTTTACTGTATTCCACTTTTTAAATTCAATGTCGGTGGCAATTTTCTAAAGCAGTGGTTTTCATCAGAGGACAATTTTGCCCTCAGGAGACATTTGGCCACGTCTGGAGACACTAGTAGTTGTTATCACACCCTGGACAGAGAGTGGAGGAAAGGGAGGTTGCTACTGGCATCTATCTATGCAGTCCAGAGATGCTGCCCAAATTCTACAATGCGTAGAACAGCCCCCAAACAAAGAATTATCCATCCTGGAATATCAATAGTGTTGGGGTTGAGAAACCCATATCTAAAGAGTTGTAGCCACAGATCCAAACACACTTCCCTCAATCCTAGGGTTACCAAGAAGAGAGGAACATTGCCTGTAACAATATGATAAAGTTCTTCTAAGAGGAATCATTAGAGCGATTTTTGTCTATATGAGGACCCCACAACGTAGGCCCATCTTTCCTATGATAATGCTTGATGTACTCTTTCTTCAAGTTTATATCAACTTGTGAGACCTTGAAGGCCATGCAGGGCACGCTGAGGTTAAATGTTAGCAAATACTTCTCTAAGTGTTCATGAAAGCGGATTCATCACTCGGGGCGATTAGCAGTGTTGGGTTAGAACTAATGAGCTTTGAGTGCCAGTAGTTGCTATGTGAGCTTAGTGGGGCATTGAAACTCAACAGCACTCAACTTCTTTCTGACCTGCCTGGCCCTCTATTACTTCAAAACCCAGCAGTGAGAAAACTGCTGAAACAGCAGTATATTCCTCATCAGGCTAATTACTTCTTTTCCCAAGATCAAGAGTACATTTTGGAAGGGCTGACACATCTGAAAGCAGAGAACATCCTGCCTACTGGGGCAGGGAAGCTCAGGCAGTTTTTGTGCCCCTCAAAAGAAAGAAGCAATTAGCAAAGGATCTGAAAGCAGAACACAAAGCATGGGGACTTCTGATGGAGTCTGTAAACCAACCCGGCCAAGAGGCAAATGGTCACTCAAACTCAGAAGCAAGAGTTTGGGAGTGCTGCCACCACAGACAGCTGCTGCCATGTAGAAGAAAGGGTGTCAGTGGGACTAGGGAAGCCCAACAGAATGCTTGTAAACCATAGAGAATTTGGAAAGAAGCCCATGAAGTTGCTTTTGGTTGGAAGGTTTGAGGTTGTCAGAGCAAACTCTCAGCAAACTCAACATACAGGGATATTGTTCTAGTTTTCCAATGAATAAGCGCTTTAAAAATCTAAATGATCCCACCACTTTGGGAGGTCGAGGTGGGTGGATCACCTGAGGTTAGGAGTTAGAAACCAGCCTGGCCAACTTGGTGAAATCCCATCTCTACTAAAAATACAAAAATTAGTCAGGCCTGGTGGCAGGTGCCTGTAATCCCAGCTATTTGGGAAGCTGAGGCAGGAGAATCGCTTGAACTCAGGAGGTGTACTCCTTGCAGTGAGTGGAGATTGCGCCATGGCACTCCAGCCTGGGTGACACAATGAGACTCTATCTCAAAAAGAAAAAAAAAAAAAACTGAGTGAAAATATTTGCATATTCTTCGGCATCGAGGATTGTTAGCTCGCCATGGACTGGTTCTACAGACATAGACTGGTTGGGAAATATTTCAGATGTTGCTCTGGCTAGGAGAATAGGGTCCTAGATTTTTGTTCTTATTCTGTTGATATAACATTGGGCAAGTGACTCTATGTCTTCTGACCAGGATCTTATAATATCTGAATGTACAGTAGGACTGATACAATTTTCAAAGGCTTGTTTCCCCTCAAACATACTGTAGACTTAAGAGGATTGAATGATAATGAAACTGTCCTAAAGTATATCAGGTTTTGTTTTGTATCACTGTTTAAGCAGACATTAGAAAATAATAGCATACTGGGAAAAGGAAAATTAATGAGTCAAAGCAATAGCATAAGAGACATGAAGAGTATCAATAGCAATAGCATATCCATTCTTTATTGATCCTTTACCAACCTTTTTATTAATTAGAGGGTAGATGTAGGGAGGTGGCGGCAAGTAACTGAATTTAATTTCCAAACATGAATTTTCTATTCATTATTTATTTTCAATGGATGAGGAAACTAATACACAGAAATTAAGAAACTTAGGGTCAGATAGTTATCAGGAGATGGAACCAGGTACTTTTAACCCTCAAACCTGACATATTTTCATGCTATTTTCCCATCCTGCTACCTCTAATAAGTTCTATGCTTCACACAGGAGATGATTCTCTGATATTTTGGATGTCTACAGTTATTTTAAATGCTTGTCATTTGTTAAAACTATTGGTCGAAGCTTAATGTGGGGTGAGCAACCAAATCAAATCAATAGCTTGGAGTTCCTTTTTTTTTTTTTTCTAGACTTGGGAAAGATTAAAACAATAATTAAATTTTCTCCCAGAGAATTGGCATGAGTGAATAAAATAACCATACATCAGAATCCACTTACTTATAAAATCACTCAGCTATTTTAATAATCTGAAAGGCCAAATTAGGTCAATCTCAAGAAGATTAATAGATCATATGGCAGTTGGTTCTTAGTGTGGGTTAAAATTAGCAAATTATCATCATCATCATCATCGTCGTCATCATTGCTATTCTAAGCACTTTCAGCTTACAATACTTTTATACAGAACTTTGGATACTCTTAACAGTTTCTTCTATGGCTGTTCCTCTTCAAAATAGACATAATCATTATCTCAATGATCTCACCCCCGGCATCAGCCGTTTGCAGCTTTATAAATAAGGAAAAATGGGCTAAAATAGAGGTTAAGTGTCTCATTCACTGATGTTCAGCCTATCAGCGTGATAGATAAGAACAAAAGCCAACTATTCTCAAACTTTTTAGAATGTTAGTTCTGTAACCATTCAGACTTAATCTTAAGGCCCTAGGCAGCCACCAGGATCAAGTCTTATTTTCTTATCTATTTTTGGTGTTTCAAGAACACATTAAGGAGAGAAAATGGATCAAAGCAAAAACAGCAATTCAATTTCTTAGAGGGTACATCAATACTTTCAGTGTGTGGAAGTACAATGTTAACCAACCATTCCATTTCCTAGAGGTAACCACTGTTAATAATTTGTTATGTATCTGTCCAGATTTTTGGTAAGCTTATATTATATACAAATATAGCCTATCAGTTATCTAGGGCTAAAATAATGCTTCATAACATTACCACAAAACCTCAGAGACATACAATAACAGTTATTTATTTTATAAGTCTGCAGGGTTTAGCTGATCCAGACTAACTTGGGATCTCAGCTGGCCTTGCTTATGTGTCTGTGGTCAGCTGTGGGTCGACCAGATGGCTCTGCTGATCTTGGCTGAGCCTGAGCAGAGGAATTAGCTGGCTGAAGGCTGACCTAGGGAAGGCTTTCCTGGGATAACTGAGGTGGCTTTACTTTGTTCCATCTGCCTTTCATCCTTCAGAAGGCTAGCCCAGACATGTCCTCACAGTGATGAAGAATTTTCAAGTCTCTTCTTATAGCACAAGTGCTAATGTTTCATTGGCCAAAGCAAGTCACATGGATAAACTAAATATCATGAAATGGGAAAACAGATTCCACTCCTGACACAAAAACTAGAAATTCCATGGCAAACGGCAAGGATAAAGAGAGGAATGAAGAATTGGAACCGTCAACACACTCAACCTAACACTAAAACACATTCTAACTCAAAACATTTTTTTTATTGCCTGTTTTTACAAACATGAGATAGTATCTTATCATTTTATGACTTGTTTTGTAACCTAATACTATTTTGGGGATCTTTCTAAGTCATTGGAAACAGATGTAACTCAATCTTTTTAACACTGGGAAATGTTACATTATATGAATAAATTAGAGATTTTTCAGCAGTCCTCTAATGATGGATAAGCTAATAATCATTAAGTTACTTCCTGTTTTGAGAAGTTTGTTAACCGTGCTGCAGTAGACACCATCTTGCATAAATATTTGTGTTTCCACTGTAATTTCTGTAAATTAAATTCATATAAGTCAGACTGTAGAATCCTTCCTACTTCACCCTCCAGCAAGACTCAGCCACTTATATTTCTCTGAATATGCCTCCATTTTCTCAAGCACTAATCTCTTATGCCTCCATTTTTTCAAGCACTTTTCTTCTAGAATCCTTCCTCTCCCAGTGGACCCTGATAAACTAAAATAAAACTTTATTAGAAAATAAATTTACGGCCAGGCACGGTGGTTCATGCCTATAATCCCAACACTTTGGGAGGCCGAGGCAGGCAGATCACCTGTGGTCAGGAGTTCGAGATCAGCCTAGCCAATGTGGCAAAACCCCATCTCTACTAAAAATATAAAAATTAGCCAGAGATGGTAGTGGGCGCCTGTAATCCCAGCTACTTGGGAGGCTGAGGCAGGAGAATTGCTTGAACCCGGGAGGCAGAGGTTGCAGTGAGCCAAGATCATGACACTGCACTCCAACCTGGGCGACAGAGTGAGACTCCTTCTCAAAAAAATAAAATACAATAATAAAATAAATTTCCATATAATTGATCATTAGCTCCCGTTCTCTATGTCTGACTCACTCTGCAACATCTCAAGTTTACAGATTATGCAAATTATTGGGAGGTCACTTGTGACTCTACTTTTATCATCATTCTTGTCTTCACTCAAGCACTTCTGTGTTTGTGAAGCTTTTTCTAAATTCCTTAGGCAGATTCAGTACTCCTTCTGTGAACATAAACGTTCCCTTATAGTAATTTTCCCATTGAAATACATTTGTTATTGTGTCTACCTGCCCTCTAGATAGTAAGCTTTTTGTCTCAGGGACATTATCTTTTTATTCTTGTAGCCAATAGGATGCTTGGCCAAGACAGACATTCAATAAATGTTTACTAAATAAAAATTTTGCACTTTAGGTCAAACCTAATGTTAGTCATCTATTAATAACATTCATTCACTACATATTTATTAAATTTGTTCAGTGATTTAGATATGTTTGAAATGAGAGTGTGGGTAGAATGTGAATGTGCCTAATTGAAAAGGGATGATCTTTTTAGAGTATCTGATGAAATTTCAAATTTTTCCTTCAGAAAAATGCATATATGCTCATTTCCACACTTTTACATACACTTACTGTAAGTTCACTGTTTCCTGATACTCATTCTTGGAACTCAAGTTAAGAACCTCGGCCTTAGGTGGATAAGAACATGGCCCAATGTCAGACTTAGCTGTGCTAAGGACAGATTTTGGGAACTTGAGGTTAGACCATCTGTCATAACCTACGCATTATAGTCCTTCATTCTTATAATAAGTGTACACGTGGCCAGAATATAGATTCTGTTATATCTATATCTTCATCTACATTTTGGCTATCTTGCCTACCTCCTAAAATACACTTGAGACTCATAATATATCCGGTCATTGATAATGAGATAGCTACAAAGACAGGGAAACCACAAAGATGTCTCATCACTTGTTTGACATTTCTACCATAATTCTGTGTAAATACATTGATCAGTTTGATTTAGTGGGAGAAAGAAAAAGTTTCCAAAAAATCACTGGATTGAAAATATAACTTCTGCATTAAAAAAAAAAAAAGCTTAAGGTATATTTAGATCAAATAAAACATCAAGATCTCATTCAAAATAATAGCAAAAATTAAAATATTTAGAAAAACATCTCAATAAGAATTGTGTACAACTTGCCTGTAAAAAGCTTTACTGAGGCTTCACGACTTGGGTCTAGGCAAAGAGTTCTTACACATGTGATAAAAGCATAATCCATAAAATAAATCTATAAATTGGATTTCATCAAAATTAAAAATCTTTTACTCAGTCAAAGACACTGTTAAAAAAAATGCAAAGTCAAACTACAAACTGGGAAAATACTTGGAAAAACATCCTATCCATCAAAGGACTTTTATTTTGAATATATAAAGAACTTTTATTTATTTATTTATTTATTTATTTATTTATTTTATTTATTTATTTTTTTGAGACAGAGTCTTGCTCTGTCACCCAGGCTGGAGTGCAATTGTGCAATCTCTCCTCACCGCAACCTCTGCCTCCCACAGCACCTATATCAGTTTCGCGAGGGCCCCCCTGAGGCAGGAGCGAATCAAATTGAACCCCACCGGA